GGTTTAGTGATTTCACTCTTTCTGTCATGTCCTACAGTATATTTTCCTTACGCTAAGACGTACTGTACCTGCTCTGGGAGCACGTTTCTCATGTCTCCGCACGTCTGGTTTTTGAAGGGGCCGCTTCCGCTCACACATGCGCTCATATTGTGCAGTGCGTGCGCAACCACATAGACGGCTTTGTAAACGTTGTAGGAAACCCTCAGCTGAGACACATCCGAGTACGCAGAGTACACACTCTCCAGGCTCTCCAGGCCGGTGCAGGGCTCCCAGGACGAAGAGGCGGTATGTACATGGGTGTTCAAAGAGCTGTTCAGTTTGCACCCAAATGTTTCTTCCCAGAATTCCGCAATGAAGGAGAATTCATGCGCGTCGGAGAGACGGAGTCGAGTCAAAAACTCTTTAAGATCAGGAATCTCTGCCTTGCGTATTGCAAACCCAATACTTCCAATTAAGAAGTCTTTGAATTCATTCCACAGGGATTTCCCTGTAGTCCAAGCTTCGCTTGATATCCATTGAATGTCTGTGATATTCTGACGTTTGAATTCACGTAAAATAGACTGCAATTGGGATTCTCCAGTAAAACCTAAAACCACCTTTGCAGAAGATCGTTTAATTACCTCTGTCACTCCAAGTATATCTCCTTTATTCATTGTAGCTGGGAAGAAGTGGGTATAAGCTATGCACGCATCCCATTTTTTAGATTCTTCTATTAAAAGCTGTATTGCAAAGCGTGCGTAATCGCTTTCTTCTCCAATAACTCCTATCCAGGTCCATTTGAAATAATTGATGAGTGTAGCTATCGCCTGAATCTGAAAGGCATCACTCGGCATAGTTCTCATGAAAGTTGGGAACTCCTTCTTGTCGCTAAGACAGTGACAGGAAGCGAAGTAGCTCACCTGTACGTAGAAGAGGAAAACGAAGATAAGGATTTTAATCATTTAAGATAAAAGTATTTCCAGTATCCATCTGGGAAAGTATTATTTATTAATGACAAACGTTATGCTTTGTACGTTTTGACATAAAAACATATTAGGAAATGCCGACGCATGACAATACAACATATGCTTGTTTTTTATTAATGGTAATCTAGCGAAAACATTCTCAATTAATACTGTATGATGTGAATGTAAATGAAACATAGGAAGGCAACTAAACTAAACTCTACTTACCAGTGGGATATGAAAGGGTCCCAAAGTTCTCAGAATTGCCACAGATCTGCTCGAACCCGCGTCTCCAATGATCACCGGGGACATCGGTCTTGCAGCGGCCGCGCAGGACAGGAGAGAGGTGTTTCCGATCTGCCCGTTTACGAGGATGAGGGAGCTCCGCAAACAGGCGTGTATGTCGTCACAGCTGTCCAGTATTCGATACCCCAGCTTCAGATCAGGAAGAAGGTCTTTTCTTTGGTTTACTTCCTTTATGGCAAAAATCATTGTCTGCATCCAGCGCAGTGCTCGGGGACTGAAACTAAAGCACACAAGAGCACGGCTATCTTCCACGTGTCGTGTCACACATAAACCAAGGGCATTTAGGCACCAAATGACTGTTGGTGAAAACCTACAGTAAAAGCGGGCGAGTATGAACCTTAACAACATATTTCACACTGTAAAATGACTTCATGATAACGCAGGTACTTACTCTATGCAATGAGGAGGCTTGGGTCTACTCTCAAACGACGGGGCATAGAGAGGTGATCTGTAGTGCAAAGGGAACAGTCCGCCTAGCACAACATCCCCCTCCTGAAAAAAGGCCGCACTCTCAACCTCGCCTTGAAATCTACAAGTCACATCGCCTGCGCCGGTGCTCTTCAAGTCTTTGAGGAAAAGAAGCGACAGAGCTATCAGCTGTGCGAGCAGGTGTGCCATTTCTGTTACAAGCGGGCTCCTCATCTGCTCGCTTTTATTATATACTGTACTGTAGACTAAAAGGCAGTTTGATCATTAAGGTCGAGATACCGTTTTAGAAAGGGCGAAAACAGTTTATTACAACG